GGTGGACGGCCAGGCGGTGGGCCGGGGGCGGGGACGGGGTGCGGAGGGGCGGCCCCTGCTCCGCCCGCAGCTCCGGGCGCTGTGGCTCCGACTCGCGCTCACGCTCGCACTTTTCCCCGAGCCGCGTGATGTCACGGGGAAGCAGCCAATCGTGGTGGGGCCGCGCCGCCCGCCCGGGGCCGGTCACCAAGCGGCGACGCGCGAGGGTCACCACCCGGGGCGTCGGAGACCCCAGAGGCTAGCACCAGTACCTGAGAGCGACCGGTAGTTCCCAGCTCTAGCACTGTGAGGGCACCGCCCACAGTTGCCGGTGCAGATTAGCAGGGGGCGCTGCCCTCCAGGGGGTGGGGGTGTCCGCGTTGTCATGGGGACGCGGCGCCCCCTCGCGGGCTGGGGAGGGAGCTGGCAGCTCCCGGGTCTGGCTGAGCTCCTGCCTCCGCCCTGACCAAGCACCCGGGACCCCGAGGTGTTTCCGGGCCTGTCCAGGACCTCACGCCCCTACGGGTCCCGGCTCGCGGTCTGACCGCAGAGACGCAAGACCCGACAGGAGGTTATGGGTGGGTGGGCTGGGCTCCGTCACCGCGGTTCCGTCGGAGCAGAGGGTTGGGAGTTTCCAGCCTGGGGCTACGTGTTGGCCACACTGCGGCTGGCAAGGAGGGGCGCCGTCGGGGCCTGAGGAAGCCCAGAGGAAGAGCCCGGTGGGGGTCGGTCTGGGACAGAAGAAGAGCCCGCCTAGCGCGGACAACACTCCACACGCTCGGTTCCCCTGCTCCAGAAAGGGGGGCACCATCTCCCAGGCCCAGGATGGGACGTACCGCCCATTCGGCCTGGAGAGTGAGTTCACCGCTGCCTGTGAGGGAAAGAAAGGTGCCCAAGGTCAGCTGGGAAGGAGCCGGGATGAGACCACAGTAAGCGATCCTCCAGTCCTCGAGGACTCTGAGGACCTTAACTGGTCCGAGAATCCGGATGCCGGGCCTTGTCTGCTCAAGGCCGACAGTGGGGTGGCTTCAGCACCTCGGAGAGCTCCGCCTCCACCTTCGCCGCGGCTTAGCCTGACAAGCGCTGGCTCTGACTCCGAGACAGCCCTTCCTGCGGCGGGTTAGGATCGGACCCGCCCCCCGGCGCCCGGCCCCGAGGCCTGTCATCCCAAACTCAGCGCAAACACCCGATTAACTCTTAAGACGGCTGGTTCCTTCTCTTGGGAAAACAACTCAAGTCCCGCTCGTTTTCCAGTCTCTCTCAAGGCCGTCAAAGGGCGGGTGGTGGGGGGCAGTGGGGACCACAGTGGAGAATAAGCTTCCTGGTCGAGGTCTTGCGGGGGAGCAAGAGCTTGTGCTGCGGGGGGTGGGGGTTCAGTGTGGGGTTCTCCATGCCGAATGGGGAGGCCCGGTTGGGTCCCCAGTGCTCAGAGTGCTGGATGGGGCTAATCTGAGTAGGGAACTTCAGGGCTGGAGTTGGCTGGACTGGAGTGAGCAGCTATCTTTCTTTACAGGAGCAGTCTGGTCTGACATGATCCTCATAATTGAGGGTGTAAGCAGGGTGAAAGAGGGGGCGAAAGAGGGTGAAAGAAGTGTTATTGTTCTTGCCCCATTTCACAGGTGAGGAAAGTTGGCTCATAGGCAATTAGATGGACAGTCTGTTCTTGCTGCACTTTGCCATATCCCTCCTAGGGTCCAGGAGAGGATGGTGCTGCTAGGAGAGATGAAAAGAGAGAGAGAGAGTGTGTGTGCGTGTGTGTTTTCCTTAAAATAGTCGGTGGGGAAATACACAAGGCCAAGTACTGGAGGCCACACAAACCAAAATGCCTCTAGCCACTGGAGCTCTTCCAGAAGCTATCAGACAAAGCCACTTTAGTTTCTCCACCTCCCTGCTATGGGGTGGGGCTTTTGACAACCCTCTCCAACCCCTCAATATCAACATCCACAGTGGGGCTTGGCGCCTATAGCTCAACCGGCTAAGGCACCAACCACGTACACCTAAGGTGGTGGGTTCGAATCCCCAGCTCGGACCCGCCAAACAACGACGGCTGCAACCAAAAAATAGCCGGGCGTTGTGGTGGGCGCCTGTGGTCCCAGCTACTTGGGAGGCGGAGGCAGGAGACTCGCTTGAGCCCAGGAGTTGGAGGTTGCTGTGAACTGTAATGCCACGGCACTCTACCCAGGAGGACAGCTTGAGGCTCTGTCTCAAAAAAAAAAAAAAAAAAGAAAAAACATCCACAGTGGAACCTGGAAAGCTGAGTTGGGATCCAAGAGACTTGGTTCAGTTTCTCTGCTTTGCTTTTGATTCAGCGACGTCCATAGACAAGTCACAGAACTTCTCTGAACCTATTTCTTCATCTCCAAAAGTGATTGCCAATCTGTCTTGCTGACCCCACAAACATGGTATGGTATGTCCAGGGGCCCTGGAAAGGTTTTACAACCAGAGAGGCTCTGTCACTGGGAGAGGGCTAAGGGATTGATGTTGACAAGGGCCTCCAATAGGGAGGGGCTTAGTCCATCCTTAGCCAGAGAGAGCAGAGCAGGGCCAAGCAGGACCTCCTTATCCATAAGGTTCCCACCTAGCCTTTTTCCCCAAAGCAACAGAGCAAGCCCTATTCTGTTTCTCCTACACCTTTTCTTCCTTCCATGAGTGAAATTACAGTGGCTACAGGGTGTGCTCTGGAATCATATATACTATCTGGGTTCAAACCTCGGCTCTAATAGTGTAGTGTGATCTGAGGGTAACAGTACTAAGCATCTCAGAAGGTTTGGAGAGGGATTAAGAGAGATAACACAGGGCTCAGTGCCTGTAGCTCAGCAGCTAGGGTGCCAGCCACATATACCAGGGCTAACAGGTTCAAACTCAGCCCAGGGTCTGCCAAACAACGACAACTACAACAAAAACATAGCTGGGTGTTGTGGTGGGCACCTGTAGTCCAGCTACTGGAGGCTAAGACAAGAGAACGCTTAAGTCCAAGAGTTTGAGGTTGCTGTGAGCTGTGAGACCACAGCACTCTACCAAGGGCGATATAGTGACTCTGTCTCAAAAAAAAAAAAAAAAAAAAAAGAGAGAGAGAGAGAGAGGTAACACAAGCTAGGCCCAGTGGCTCACCCCTACCACTCTGGGAGGCCAAGGCAGATGAATCGCCTGAGCAAGGCAAGACCCTGTCTCTCCTAAAAATAAGAAAACTAGGAGGGTATTGTAGCAGGTGCTTGTAGTCCTAGCTACTCAGGAGGCTGAGACAAGAGGATTGCTTGAGCCCCAGAGTATAAAGGTTGCTGTGAGTTATGATGCCATGGCACTCAGTGATAACACAAACTGAGTCCTTGGAATGTAGTTTATACTCAACATATTAATAGTCTCCACATGTAGACCAAGGGCTTTCTTTCTCTTACTGTGGCAAGAGTATTTGTGTAGAAGACACAGATTGCAGTGCAGCTCCCTTCTTGACTTCTTCCTCTTAAGGGAAGCCTACTTTGTCTAAGCACTCCTGTGCTACCCGAGCTCCAGTGCGTCCTGGTGTAGCAAGAAGTAACTTGCAGGAGGTTGTATAGTACAAACCCTGCATCCTAACATGGGAAAGTGAAGCCTAGAAAAGGCAAGTGGCCTTGCCTATAGTCACAGCTAGCTGATGTGTTTTTTGGTTCAGAATCCACTGTTATAGTGTAATTTTCTAGAAAATTAGGGCATTCTGGCTGAGCACAGTGGCCCATGCCTGTAATCCTAGCACTCTGGGAGGCTGAAGTGGATGGATCCCTTGAGCTCAGGAGTTTGAGACCAGCCTGATCAAGAGTCAGATCCCCATTTTCACTAAAAATAGAAAAAAAAAATTAGCTAGGTATTGTGGTGGGTGCTTGTCGTCCCAGCTATTTGGGAGGCAGAGGAAAGAGGATTGCTTGAGCCCAAGAGTTTGAGGGTGCTGTGAGTTATGATACCATGGTGTTCTACCTAGGGTGACAGAGTGAGACTATGTCTCAAGAGAAAAAAAAAGAAAAGAAAAAGAAAATTAAAGCATTCTTAACTACATAACTCTTCAAGTTTAGTATTACTTGTTTGCCATTGATCTTTTGGAGCAGAACCTGTAACTGTCCCAGTGTTAGGGGCAGTGCTGGGCATACAAAAAATACCCAAGTATGGACAGTGCCTGTGGCTCAGTGGGGTAGGGTGCCGGCCCCATATAACAAAGGTAGCGGGTTCAAACCAGGCCCGGCCAAACTGCAACTACAACAAAAATAGCCAGGCGTTTCAGTGGGTGCCTGCAGTCCCAGCTTCTCGGGAGGCTCAGGCATGAGAATCGCCTAACTCCAAGAGCTGGAGGTTGCTGTGAGCTGTGACACAACAGCACTCTACCAAGGGTGACAAAGTGAGACTCTTATCTCTTAAAAAAAAAAAAAAAAAAAGACTCAAGTATTGGCTGCAGGCAAAAAGCCCTGGGGTTGCTCTGATTTTCCTGTATAGCTCTCTGAAGGTAAATGTCCTTCTCCACTTTTTTACTGGCTTGAAACTTTGAAGTAGCCAAGGCCCATAGAAAGACCAGGGCTTTCAGCTTCAGACACTGTACAGAAGACACAAAGAGAGACTTGAGCAGCCAGCAAATGGCACCTTTGGGGGACATGTGCAAGCTAGACCAAGGTCCCTACTAGACACCTGCTATGGGTGGTTTCCCAGGACTGGAGGGGATCTGGCTTTTTGGCCAGTTACATCTTCGCTCTAAGTTCATGGTCTTGGGTAGGAAGCTGTTAGGATGAGTGATCTTCCATCATTCTCTGGAAGGTGGTTCTAATCTACCATAGGCCCCTGGGAAGCAGGAAGTGGTGCTGTTTAGAGGTGTGGAACAAAACAGGGATGGTAGCCCTTACCCAATCAGCTCTGGCTGAAGGTCAGATAGGGTTTCTCAACTAGGATGGCAGCACTAGAAATTGTGCCTGGGGGAATGGGGATATGGCTCAGTTCAATACCTCCCACATCCCAATCACCACCCCCTCCTCCATCTTCATGGAAACAAACAGATAGGAGCCTGGTGAGGGGCATGTCATCATTTTAATGATGTAGATCTTTGGTGTTTCCCTCATTAGCAGTAGACTATCCCCTCTCCTCCCGTCACAATATTTCTATGATGAATTACAAACAGAAAGGAAATCACATTTTCATACTAAAAACAAAATGATCAGAGCCTTGATTTCTTCACTAGAAACTACACATACAGTTCAAGATTCCACATGCAACACCTTAAATCACAGACCAAGACCTCACATTCTGACCTGGAGTCTCATCCCCCTCCCCCAGCCTTAGGCTAGCTTTGGCCTAGGCTCAGGTAATACTGACACCCACAGGTGCTGCTGAGAGCCTTGGAGGGGAGGGAGAAGCTTGGTGGACAAGCCCTGGGGGTGGGCCAGCCTATTCCCCCCACTCCTGAGTGAAGACCTGCCCACTGTCCCTTGACCCCATCCTCTATCAGGCAAGCAGGCTGCCCTCTTTCCCTTGCAGTTGTTCCCCATTAGTAAATGCAGGAAATCCCTGTCCTCAGGAATCTGGGAGCCTGGCCCAACCCCTGACTGTGGTTTCTGTGGGTAAGATGATGAAGAGAGGCTGAAGCTCTGGAAGGCTCAGAGTTGGAGATGGTTTCTAGGAGCCAGGCCCTTCCTCCTGTTTTTGGGCTCCTGGTAGCTCTGCCCACCCAATAGGTGGACAGAGAAAAGCTGCCCCATTGGCATCTGTGCAGATGGCTTGGCCCAGAACTGGAAGACTGTTCACTCCTCTGGGGCTCTCTGTCCAGGGCTAAGTCCCCTGAGCCCATGTTCCTAGGAGAAAGGGGGTTCACAGCACAGATACCCACTTGCTCTTCCATTCACATTAAGTCCAGCAGTATGGCTCTCCTGGGCTCCAGATCCTGAAAAGTTCTAGTCCCCCAAGGCAAGTCTTGCCCATTCGACTGCTTCGTGCCCAATGACTCTTGACTCCTCTTCACCCCACCCTCTTACTCCTCCTGTTCCCTGATGCAGCCAGCAGCTCTTCCGCATCTACAGTTCCCAGTCAGCTGTGAGGTCCGGTCTCTGCTCAGCGGTTCGAGGGGAGGCACCAGTGCACATGTCTCTACCTGTTCCGTGGCTCCCCACTGGGACCTGCAGCTTCATCCCTGCTGCTGCCACTGTCATCAGGAAGGTGGTTGTTACTGGTCAGGTCGCAATGCGGGGTTGGTCCCTCAGTGCTGGGAATGGGGACAGGAACATGGGCAGGGGATGAAGAGGGCAGGGTTGGCTGCGGTGGTTCCTGCCCAGGGGTCCCAGGTTGTTCCCAGGAGGCTGTCCGTGGGCTTAGTCCTCGCTCTGCCAGCTGCTCAGGTTCTGGGAGCAGTCCCCGAGAGGTGGAGGGCTGGGGCGAGGAGGTACGGGTGGCCCCTGGCTCGGTGCCTGTCTGGGAGCTGCGATGAATGCGGTGGCTGACTATGATGTTGTTGCCAAAGCCCCCCATGGAGGCCATAGTGGTACTCTGCTCCCGCTGCACCACAGCCGTCATGCCCCCCTCTGCCATCAGCCTCTGGATCCTACTGAGGGCATCTTCCCCACTGGCACCGTACTCTGAGCCCTCACCTAGAGAGTACAAAGCAGAAGAAAGAGGGAATTAGGTGCTGGCCTGGGCCTCTGAGTCAGGTAGGGAGCCACAGGGAAGAGCTGGGAGTCTAGACTAAAAGCAGTAATAAGAGGAGGCCAGGTCCATCATTGTGAAAATCAATCAGTTTTAAAAGCTACACCAAACTCCACAAGATGATCACAATTCATAATTCTGTGTTACTGGTAGGGAAACTATAGCCCAGGATGGAGTAAGGTGGCTGTGGTCTCACTCTGCCAACCTGGGTAGAGTACTAGGGCACCATAGCTCACAGCAACCTCAAACTCCTGGGCTCAAGTGATCCTCTTGCCTCAGCCTCCCAAGTAGCTGGGCTATTTTTAGAGACAGTCTTGCTCTTGTTGAGGCTGGTGTTGAACTCCTGAGCTCAAGCAATCCAGCTTCCTCCTCAGCCTCCCAAAGTGCTAAGATTATAGGTCTGAACCACTGTACCCAGTCAAGTGGTCAGCTTTAATTAATCCTTTTAGCACCAGTGGCAGGCTAGTCTGAAAGAAGGCTAGGACTAGACTGATTGCTTTGTAGCTCAGGTGTATGTGGCTGGTGCCTCAGCCCCTTGAGCTTGAGCCCCAGGCACTGAGCCTTTTTTTTTTTTTTTTTTGCTCTGGTGCATTTCAATGCTGTCTTCCTTCACTGTAGTTCTGTTTATGTTACTTTCTACAAACCCATGAAGAAGCTTGAATTTTTAACTATTCCTTAGAACTGTTTCCTTCTCTTTTCTCCCTTGACCCAGTTGTTCTCCTGGGGCTTGATGCCTGATAGCACCTTTCCCTATTGAGAGCCAACTGCCTTATTCAGGCCTGAAGCTTCAACCTGCAGCTCCAGGGAGGGAGGGTTCTAGGCACTCTCTTATATGGGAACAGACAGGACAGACTCAAATCTCAGCTCTCCCACTCACTGGGTGACTTCGAACCAGTCCCTTAACATCCATCTTACACAGAGGAACTAAGATAATGCACACTCCAGGAACTTGGTCAACATAGCTGTTGCAATGAATCTGGGGTCTGTAGCAGTGGAGCCCTGTTCCGAGGCACTTCCCCTACTACCTGCTACTCAGTTCTCTGCAGGGTTGGGTTTGGGCAACAATAAGCAAGGTTCCTAGGCCACCAGGGATGATCCTAATGAACTTCTGGTTTGTTTCCTTTGGCTACTTGCTAGCCAGTTCAGGGGGTTATAATGTTGGGTTTTCTTTCTTTGGGGAATATTTCTTGCCACCAGCTATTTTTTTCTTTTTTTGAGACACAGTCTCAAGCTGTCACCCTGGTAGAGTGCCGTGGTGTCACAGCTCACAGCAACCTCAAACTCTTGGGCTTAAATGATTCTCTTGCTTCAGCCTCCCAAGTAGTTGGGACTATAGGCGCCCACCACAACGCCCAATTATTTTTTGGTTGTAGTTGTTGTTGTTTGGTGGGTCTGGGCTGGATTCGAACCCGCCAGCTCCAGTGCATATGGCTGGAGCCCTAGTCGCTTGAGCTATAGGCACCAAGCCAGCCACCACCTATTTTTGTAAGACTTTCTTTGCTTCCCCCAATCCCATGTAGTCCCTTCTCTCTGCTTATGTCATTAAAGCTGGATTTCCAAGCCAGCCAGTTTCACAGCTTAACAGTGTTCAAAGCCTCACTGGATCTCTGTCCCTTCTCATTAGTGTTTGGCAGCCTCATGTTACTAGTTCCTTCTCCAAGTCTTCAACAATTTTCCTCAGCACTAAGCAGTTGGGGTACCACCTGGGCTTTAGCTTATGCTTAGCCTTCTTTTCTCAAAGTTCCCAAATAAACTCTGTCCCTCACTCCTCAAGGTGGCTGCCTTTACCTACCTCTTTCTGGGAAGCTCAGCTCCAGCTCCCAGGACAGAAAGAAAGGAAACGTGAAGTGCTCTCAGAGTACTAGGCCAACCCTCCCTTCTCTCAGAGGGAAAAGCCTTCCAGCAGCAAGGCAGAGGCTGTGAGGAAAGGTCAACCTAGGGCCTGGACAAAGCACAGCTTCTACCCTGGGAGCCAAAGGGGGGCCTCCCTCTGTTCCCTGCAGCCTCCACTCTAAGAATTTTGCGCACTGAAGACCTCCCAGCCTGCTCTGGGTATGCAGCGGGCTGGCCTGAGGCCTGCTGGCAGTGAAACTATCTACTCTTTAAAGTAGATAGTTTCTAGGGGCTGGACCAGCTGCCTTGGGGCCCTAAGGGAGCTATCGCAGCCAAGCCCCCAGAGAGTGCTGAGCGGTCACCCCTGGCATGAAGGAGGCCTGGCTACCAGCACTAGGTCAGAGCCCTCCTATCTTCTCCACAGCTTTCCTTGGCTCTGGTATCCCTGCATGATGATTGTGGCTGTGCTCACTGCTCTTTTTGCTTCCTGTTCTCTTTTTCCACAGTCTCCACGATGCAGCTATCAACCATTCTGACGAAGCTCTGATTAACCGAGCTCTGGCTAAGTCTATACCTGTTCAAAACTCAGCAATTCCGAGACCCTCAAAGTCATCAACACCTTTGCCTAATGTCTAAGGGCCCTGTGACCAGGCCCTTGCCACTTTTCTGACCCTCCTGCTCTGCCCTGCATTTATGTACCAATAGGTTCTACTAATGCAGACTCAACCCATGCTCCCTGCCTGCACATATGGGCACATGTTATGCATACTCTCTGCTGTGCTCTCACCCCATCTCCTTGTGTCTCTTGTCTGAATTTCAAGGGCCAATGCAAACGCCATCTCTTTCACACAGTCTTCCCCAGGTTGCGGCTGGAAGCCTGCTCCTTCTCAGGCCTCTTGGTGCTCTACCTCTGATAGCTGCAACATTTCTCTTCTGGGCTCTAAGTTCCTGAAGGTTTTGGACTCAGCTTTATTATTTTATTTTTTTGAGACAAGAGTCTCACTCTGGGACGGTGCCTGTGGTTCAAAGGAGTAGGGCGCTGGCCCCATATGCCAGAGGTGGCAGGTTCAAACCCAGCCCCAGTCAAAAACTGCAAAAAAATAGTCTCACTCTGTTGCCCTAGGCTACAGTTCCATGGCATCAGCCTAGATCACACCTCAAACTCTTGTTCAAGTGATTCTTTTGCCTCAGCTTCCTGAGTAGCTGAACTAGAGGCACCCACCACCATGCCTGGCTAGTTTTTCTATTTTCAGCAGAGACAGAGTCTTGTTCTTGCTCAGGCTGGTCTGGAAGTCTAGCTCAAGGTATTCTCTTGCCTTGACCTCTCAAGAGTGCTGGATTATATAGGTATGGGCCATGGCACTTGGCCCCTTTCAGCTCAGCTTTATTCTTCTTTGAGTCCAGAGTTTAACACATGTTCTTATACTTGGTGTATACTTGTCAAATATATGTTAAGTATGAAAAAAAGGGCTCCCAGGCTGCTCACGGGGGCTCAGGACTTAAGAAGATTTTACAAACTAGTCACATGTCACTCTCTACTTTGGGAGAAGCAGTTACATGCCTAGTCCCTTCCTGGACTTCTGAGGGAAGAGAAATGATGGCATCTCTAAATGTAATTCCCTTTGCAATACCTTTGAATTCATGGTGCCTAATATAATACCAGACACAAAGTAAGTGCTCAAAAAAGAATGAATGGAAGATTTAAAAATGTATACATGAGCATGGATAGTTTAGCCTACAGAGGTAGGATTTGTGCTTCCCTCCTGGGAACTCTAAGCCAAGGCTAAGAGCTACTAACGGCTGTTGGCACATTCTTCTAGTGGAAGGAAAAAAACCCCCAAAACACCAGGGCCTAAAGGAAATGGCAGTCATGTGGCCCACCACCCAGGAGCAGTGGTGCCCATAGGAGCTAATCCTGCTGTCTCCTTCCCTGTAGCAAAAGCATTTCTGTCTTTGAAAAATGGGAAATTGGGCTCAGCGCCTGTGG